GTTCATTTGAAAACTGCAGAGTACTGCAATTAATATTCAAAGTAAGTAACGAGCATCCGAAAACAATTTTCTACCAGAAAAATTTATATACTGCTAGACCCATTTGAAACAACTGCACTGTTCAAACACTTGAATATCTTCGGTCATTATACGACATGTAGAAATGAAAATACACTTTCTCATAATTCGCATTTTCTTTTTTTTTTTTTTTTCTTTCGATAACATAATAAGATTAAATTTTCTTTTAATACATACATATGTCAGGTGTAAGATAATAAAATCGACAGAGAAACTTTACGCAATTGAAGCTATTATTTTGCAATAATCACGATGATTCAGCTATTTTCATTCTTGGTACAGTCAGTCTCACACTGTAAGTTGAAACTAACCACACTTGCTACATTCGATACAACGGAATTTAATAAAACAGGTTAAGGATTTTTATGCGAACTCACGTTTTTGAGAATACAATTAAAAAAGTAAAATTGACGTTGTTTCGCGTACCAAATATTACGGAAAGAAGGTGAATTCTAAAGTGCATCTCATAAGTGCATAAAAATTCGCAAACTACAACAAAATTATAATAAAATTTTAACAATTTATAATAAAATGCTACGTGTTGTGCGATTCTTCGTTTTAACAAAGTTTCGTGTATTTACGTTTTCTTCTTAACATTTCTCAAAACAACTAACTTTAGACATAGATGAAATATTCTTCAATTAAACAATTTGACTGACAATATCGAAAATTGTACAATAGTAGAACTTGCATGGAAATAATCAGGCTGAAAGAACGATAGCATACTACTAATTGTAAGTGATTTTTAACTGTTGAAATTTAATTTCCTAGAACATGGACTACTACCAACTTCTTTTCGCCATTGCTACCGTAGTGCTGGCAATCTATTATTATTACACTTCGATCTACAACTATTGGAAGAATCGCGGCATACCTGGACCAAAACCAGGACCGTTTCTTGGAAACTTTTGGGGTACTGTCACTCGAAAATACGCGATAGCTACTGCTGTGAAAAATTGGTACCACGAATTCAAACACGAACCAGTGTTCGGACTATACGAGGGAAGAACACCACTTCTTGTTGTCAACGACCTGGAATTGGTTAAAGATGTTCTCATCAGGGACTTTTCCTCATTCATGAACCGCGGATTTCGAGTATTCGAAAAGGTATTTCCATATTATTATTAATTCACGACGATAATTTTGACATTTAATGTACTACGTGATTTATTTCCTTGTTGCCGATTAAAATTGGGGAATCGTAATTGTAGACAGCAAATTATTGAATGTGAAATTTTACTTTGAAAAAAATAGGTACTTATCGTTGAAATTTTCAAAAGTGAACTAAACACTGATACGATCAATTCTATCTACAATTATTCACATTAATATTCGAACACTTAAGTATTCAATAAACTGTTACAAGTTCGTAATACAAAATCCTACATGTTTTTACACACGGATATGACGGATGAGGACGTGAAGACACACCTCTTCTCTAAAATGTTACAAATTATAAATGTCACAATTTATGAAACGTTAGAATGTATGAAAACGTTGAACAATCTTTTTCATTACTGAATCTACATATTGGATAGAAGACAGTATATCGCGATACTGACAATATTTTCAGAAACTCGAGAATTAATCGAGACGAATAGGAAGATCACTTTCCGAAGCAAAAATTCATGTAACAATTTAATATTTAGATAGAGCCGCTGGCGCAGCATCTGTTCCTTTTGGAGTCCGAGAAATGGAGGCCACTAAGATCGAAACTATCACCGATGTTTACATCTGGCAAGCTTAAAGACATGTTTCCTCTTGTCGCAGAATGCGCGGGAAATCTAGAAAAATTTCTAGACAGAGTAGCAGACAGTGGCGAGCCAGTGGAATGCCGTGAAATGTCTGCGAAATTCACGACCGACGTGATCGGCAGCTGCGTGTTTGGGATCAGCATGAACTCACTTGGGGACGAAGACAGCGAATTTCGAAGGATGGGCAGAAAAATTTTCAGTGACTTTAAACTACTGGCTCGGGTCGCTTGTAGACAAATTGCGCCATGGCTGATTAAAGTATTCGGCAGATTCCTTCAATCGACGGAAATTGACAATTTTTTCATCGGTCTGGTGCGCGACACGATGCAGTACAGAGAAAAGAATAACATATATAGGCCAGACATGATCAACATACTTATGGAACTGAAGAAACATCCAGATAAAGTAAATACTATCGGTGAGTTGGCAATTTAGCTCTCAATGGATATCACTGAAGATAAAGTTGATAAAAGTGTGAAATTAAATCACACAGTTTTGTATTTAATTCAATTTTATCGCTTAATTTGAATTTGTTGTTTAACATCTTTGATCACGGAATTCTAAATAACATTAAATATTATATGCTTCATATGCAGGAATCTAATATATTGATTACAAACTTGCATGAAAATTTTGTGGTTTACAGAATTAACCGACTCGTTGCTTACCGCGCAAGCGTTCGTTTTCTTCAATGCTGGTTTCGAAACCTCGTCGTCGACGATGGCACATGCTCTGTACGAGTTAGCACAGAATCAAGACGTCCAAGATAAACTACGACAAGAAATTAGAAACACGTACAAGCAGAATGGTGGAACACTGACATACGCAGATATCAAAGAAATGAAATACTTGGACAAAGTGTTCAAGGGTACGTATTGAAAATTATCACAATATATCTACTGAAATCTGTTAGATAAAGAGAAAATGTTCCTGCTTACTTATGAAAAAGAAGAAAAATTTAGCGTAATGTGTAATGTAATTGAATTTTTTATAAAAATATATGAAATACTTGACTGGGAAACAAAGAACGTATGTAAATATTTTTTGTGAATTTGATTCTTGAGAACAAAAGATATGCCAATTTGTTTTGATGGAACAGATATTTAATTCCTTCGCAGAAACGCTACGAAAGTATCCAATACTGACGATGCTGACCAGACAAGCACAGGAGAATTATACGCTTAAAGGAACGAAGATTACCATACCGAAAGGAATGAAAATATGGGTACCCGTGTACGGAATTCAGACGGATCCTGATATTTATCCGGAACCAGAGAAATTCGATCCTGAAAGGTTTGAGGACGATGCTGTTGCTGCTAGGCATCCTATGACTTTTCTACCTTTTGGCGATGGACCGAGGAATTGCATTGGTACGTTAATTAAATATTAGATCTAGGTATGCAATGACTTTATCCAGATTGCAAATTTTTTTATTTTATTTTGCTACACGTAATACGTAAAGATATTTGTATAAAATATCTAAGTTCGAATAGTATATACCTTATCATCAAATTTATAATTAATATAGAAATGTGTAAGACGATTTTCTGTAAATCAAACACTTTTCTTGTTATCTTTATATAAATATTGTATAAATATCTAGTTATATGTTTGATATAGTATACATCAAACCTTTGACGTACTTCTTTTAAATTATTATTTTTCCCAACTTAAGCACCATCTTAATACAAAATTACGATAATCTGTAATCGAAAATTACATCGTATCATTTTTGTACCTCCTTTCAGAATCTTAGGTGAATATATGTAATAATAATTTTCAGGTGCTCGTTTCGCTCATGTTCAAAGCAAAGTCGGACTTGCAACGATTCTTCGCAATCACAAAGTTGATGTCTGCGAGAGAACTACGATCCCTTACAAGCCTGATCCGCGATTGTTCCTGTTGGTTTCGAAAGGAGGCGTTCAATTGAAAATAACTACAGTTCAAAACTAATAAAACCGTGAATAGCCGGTGAAATATCGTTGGCATTATACGTCAATAATGATTATTAGAATACAATTTTAAGTTATTTAATTTTTGTACTGTTTTAATTCAGTTTAATTTTATTGTTAATATATAGCGGAGAATGTAACCAAATGACTTGAAATTCATAATAAAGTTACAAACTTTCGTTAATAACAATTCAAAGTGCTGGACTGATGTATTTATTGAAATGGTCAACACACGAGTTAAGTGTAAATTAAAAATATAAAAATTTACAAATTTATTTCACATGCAGCCATTGTTTTAGCACTTTTCTCGTACTCTCTTTCTGGGACTGTTTCATATGAGAATTTCACGTTCTATTAATACTCAAACGAATAATGATTAAATCGTAAAATTTATATTCGAAAAATGAAAAAGTACAAGGAATGAGAAAAAAGAAATGAACTTTGGAATGCAGTGAAGAATGCAGCAAGATATTTTATATCGCGAAAAGTCATCTTCAACATCTTTGAAAATAATTCGCTCAACTCTAAGTAACGGTCCGAGGTCTACAACAAAATTACGATACACCTCGTGTCATTCCTCGTTTCAACAGAATATTCATTTACATTTCAATCTTAATATTTTCTTAAAACGACTAATTTCAGATGCATAGATACCGTCCTTCGACTAATCAATTCGAACGATACTGATAGCATTGAAATTTTTAAAATAGTACAACTTGCATACGAAATAATCAAGCTGATTGCTAGCAAATCGTGATTTTTAACTTAGCACGCTGCTAAGAAATTTAATCGATCGTACTCGAGCAATACCTACATAAACGTTCGTTTCGGGACCTACTCGCGACCTATCCGTGACCGCGACCACGATACTAAAATCGAAAAATCAAAGAGTAAAATCAGGAACAAGTGGCGTGCTTCATTTGTACCAATTTTACTGTCGATTTTTCAAGTTGGATTTCCTGAAACAGGTTGGACACACGAAAGGGGGACACGCGGCCAGAAATTGTGCCAACCTACCCGGCCCTATCTACTTATTATTATAATTAAACACAGGCATACCAGAAAATAAGCTACCTATCCTAACTAATAGTCCTATATTTAAAAAATGGCAAAACAGGCACACCAACACATTCGCTCCACGGTTCTCACACATAGTACTCGGGCGCAGACCTAACTAGAAAGG